CGGATCCGGGGTTCCAGACCCGAGGGGCCGGATCCGGGGGTCCGGGTGTCCGGATCCGAGGGTTCGGATCCGGGGGGTCCGGATCCGAGGGCCCGGATCCGGGGGTCCGGATCCGGAGGTCCGGGGATCCGGATCTAGGGGTCCGGACCCCCGGATCCGGACCACCGGATACGAAATTAATTAAAATTGAAATGATGAAATGATGAAATGGGTTGGCAGCACTGCCGTGATTCGTTGGGCGGCGCATTGAAGCGCAGCGACGCTGAGTCACCCCTCGGCTGCCCCGGGCGAGCGGCACGGACGTGTTTGCCGGGGGAGTTTGCGGACGGTTTAGCGATACGGCCCAAAAGATGGCAGAAATGGAGGAGAAGCGGCAAAATAAATAAAGTTCGGCCCCCCCAAAAAAAGTTTGAACTCGCGACCTGGCGGTGGACCTGGCGGAACGGCCACGAGAACGAACTGCTCAGTTTCATTCGGAGCGGGCGGTGCGCGGGCGGTGATTAGTAACGAGTCCCTGCCATTGGCAAGGCGGTGACTTTTGGCGCGGGAGCGCGGAACGGACGGAACGGACGCATTGTCGCACGGCTCCAAAGTTGGAGTAATTAATATCGAATTGGAGAGGGGGCAGGGCAGCAGCCGGCAGCGAAACCAATACGGGGGATTGAAAAGTCGGCGAACAGTGAGCACTGCCGCGCTGCCGCGCTGCCGTGACACAATGGGCGCCAAAGTCGAATCGGCTGCGGCGTGGCGGACGGGCACGGCGGCACGGCGGCACGGCGGAGGGAGAGGACGAGGGCACGAGAGGCACGCGGCAAAAGGTGTGCGCGACCGGGCGGCACGCATAGCGTTTCGTTTTGCTCGGCCCCGGTTGTCTTTGTGCCCATCTGTCATTATCAGGAGCATCCCCCAGGGACACGCCGCGCGATCGGGAGTCAGAGGGCAGAGGGGGAGAGGGGGGGGGGAGAGAGGGGGAGAGAGGAGCAGGATATTATCAAACGATTTTCAGTCTGCTCTGCTGTGCGTTTCGCTTCGTTTCGCCACCCCTCTGCGTTTGGCGGCCTGGCGGGTAACGTACTGCAGACTTCCATCTGCTCCGCCGAATTAGCTTCGCGTCGTCCCACCCTCACTTACTACCCCTCCACCGCGACCGCCGCCACCACCGCAAAAAGCAATAAGTGCTTTCGACAAAAGGAAATACTTCTTCAATTTTTTTGGTGTGAGCCAAAGCACCCGGCAGCTACCTTGCAATAAGGCTTCAGAGGGCTGATTCCGAGCCAGTCCCGCTCCGTCTTGTCACTCCGTCCCTCTCTCGCTCCGCGGGTGCGAGAGAGTCAGAGAGAGATGGAGAGACGATTCCGGAATCGCTCTGCAGGCCAATCAGGGCCCATTCACGATGGCAGACGTGCGGCCAGGTCGGCCAGGCGCGCAACGATTGTCGCCGCTCTCAGCCCCTCAGCAGACGCTTCCGTCTCCCTCCTTTCCCACCCCTCCACTCTCGCAACAAAAAAAACCGTGTTTTTTCCGCCAGAAACAAACTTAAAAAAGTCGCTATATTTTTTAAAATATCCTCTCCTGCGGGCATTTTGATTCAACTTATCTGTCCAGATACAGCCCACGGTAAGGGGCGTGGAAGACGCGGGGGACGTTCCCCGGACGTTCCTGGCACAACCTCGCCCTCCTCCATCAAATAATGGACACCGTATCAAGGGACATCTCGGAGGGGGGGGGGGAGCCTGAGTGACGCGCGCGGCTCGAGCACACAGTGTGTGCGTGCGTCCACCAGTGTGTGTGTAAGTGTGCGTGAGAGAGAGAAAAGGGGTTGGCAGGAAGGCCCTCTCTTTTAGAAATGTGCCGCCGGCGCCGGACCTGTCTCGCAAAAAAAATAATAAAGAAAAGGGGGGTCCGAGGGTTATCTCCATCTCCTCGGGGCTTGCGCCTGGGCCCGGGGCTGGCCTGGACGTTCTGGACACACACACGCTCGTCACTGTCCGCCCGACGGCCCGGCGGCCCGACGACCACGGCACGGTGCCAGGATGGACTTCGAGGCCGCCGCCGTCGCCCTCCGGCGGGGCTGGCGAGGCTGGCGAGGCTGGCGGGGCCGGCCGCCTGCGGGGTAGGCCACCCCCGTGCTGCAGCGCGCCGCTGTGCTGCGTGGCGGCCTACCCTCTGTCCGTCGGGCGCTCCGGGCGTGCCGCGTGCTGCGAGCGCGGATGCTGTCGCCGCGCTGCCGGGCTGCCGCCACATTTGCATAGGAGCACGACGTCGTCATGAAATATGCAGCGCGGCGACCTCTTGGCGGCGAGGAGCTGGTCGTCATCACGCCGCCAGCACCGCCAGGACGACGACGCGGTGACAGGCCCCTCTTGTCCTCCGCGGCCCCCGCACCTGTTGCGGCGCGGCCCCGCCGAGGAAACCCCGAAGGGAACCCGAAGGAACCCGAAGGGAACCCGAAGGAACGGCCAGGGCGACGTGTACGAGGTTATCTGTTCGCTTGGCGGCTTGGCAGTTGCCGAGGCTCGTCCCGCACCCTTATTGGCCCTCCCCGTCGTCGTCCTTTCATCCTCCAAGACGGCCTCGCCATATCCGGGGAGCAGGAAGCGAAAAAATAAGTTTACAGCAGTCACTGTGTGAGTGTGTGTGTGTGTGTGTGTGTGTGTGCGAGCGCGCGTGCGTGTGGTTGGTGGCGGAGGGAGCGGCGGGGTGGGTGGAGGGGTGGGGGAGGCATTCCTAGCGCGTTGGCCGCATCGCGTGGTCTTTACGAGCCGATAAAAACATGAGAAAGCGCAACAAACCGAGTCGCGTCTCCAGACCGCCGCCACATCGCGCCCCACAGCCCTAACGGGGTGGGGTGGGGCGGACTCCTCTAGACACGTTATTAATTCCTACAACTTTTTCGGCGCACCACAATAGAAGGCAGCCTAATTTATGACCGTGTTTTTGGAGCGAAGGCCTGCCGGCTCGTCGAAGTGGGGGCCTCGCCGGCCTGCTCCGGGACATACTTGTTATGCCGGGCCAGGCGGGCCAGGCCAGGCGGGCCTGCCGGGCGGCGCTGCACTTTGCCGCCCCCGGGGGCGGCGTCCCGTCCGGGGGCGGCACTCCACCGCCTTCCGCCTTCCCCGGGCCTGGAGACTGGTTCCGAGAGTCGTCGCTCTGTCTCTCTCGCACCTGCACGGGACGCCCCATGAGTGCGAGAGAGACAGAGCGACGGCTCTCGGAATGAGCGTGCTGGCCTGCCCAGTCTCCGGCAGGGCCTCGGCATGATGTAGGCGCCTTGCAACCCCAACTCCCCCTGCCGGCGCCCTGCCGCCGCCGCGGCGTGGAGGCGTGGGCGGACAGCAAGCAGGCTTCCTATAACTACCGCTGCTCCTCCCGAGGCAGTAAAAAAAGGGGGGGAAATGCTAAGCTTTGACGTGGCGCGGCCCCGGGTTCGAATACCAGCCGAGCCGGGCGGAATATTTGGCCGGCGAAATCCTTGCGACCGACTTGGGCATCCAAAGTACGGCGCCGAGACCACAGAACTCCGCGGAGCCCCGCCGCTCACGCTCCAGCGCAGCACAAAGGGCCGGGAAATAAAAGAAGGAAAGAAATGGAAAGGGAAAGGGGTGCAAACAAACGAAGCCCTCGTCTGCGCCATATTGACATTCCGCTCGCCGGTAAAGGGCATCCCAATAGCAAGGGATGTTTTGTAGACTGCCTCCGACTCCAGCGAGGAGACTCCCTGCGGTACGCACCAGCGGCACCAGCAACGGCAACCTCATTTCGCTGATGGATGACACGCGTGAAACTCATTTTCCGTTCCGGCGGCAGCGGTGCGCGGCGAGCAGCGGGAGCAGCGCGCAGCACGCAGGGCGCGCATCCGCACGCCGAACGGGCGGCCCCGAGGCGGCCCGCTGTGTGGCCGTCGAGTCGAGTCGAGTCACTAACTTGACAGCTTCAGAAGGCAGCGAGATGAGACGCAGCCACGCCGGGCCACGCCACACCGCGCGCGAGGCTTCGGTCCCGCGAGACGGAAAATCATTCGATGACTACTTGTTCGGGCACCTTCGCCTTCGCCCTCCGCCCTGCGAATCCACTTTTGGCGCCAAACCGGGGTGGCATGACGAGCGTCGCGCGGGAAATTCAAATGAAAAACTTCCGACCGCACCTGCGCGCGTCGTCACCCCCGCGTGTCTCCTTTTTTTCCTCCTCTTTTCTCTCTTTTTTTTTCGCGACTTGTTTGGGAGCGCGCCAACGATGGCCGTCATTATCGCCGGCGGGGAGTTTGAAAAACCGCCCAAACTTTTGCGAGCAACTTCCTGGCGCGCTCTGTCTCCGCCCCGCTTGGCTCCCTCCTTGAGCATCGAGGTGGCATAGTTGCCTTCACCCGTTTGCGCCGTTGCGATTGCCGGCGACGCTATTTACCCCGACGGCTCGGATCCGACGTCGGGGATCGCGCTGATGAGTACACAGCTCTCTCTCTCTCTCTCTCTCTCTCCCTCTCTCTCTCAAGCCAGTTGCTGCCTCGCCCGTAAATATTTGCGGGCCCGTTGTTTTTGCCGCGTTTATGACTCGGCCGTTAAGACGTGAGAGGAGTCGCATCGGCGGGGCGGCTGTGCCCTGGCTGTGGCGCCCGGGGGTGCGAGAGAGACAGGAGGGCCGCCCTACGCGAGGCCGCCGACGAGCCTCCCCGACATGGCTCCGCCGGGCGACCTTGTCGGCGTGGGGGAGCGTGCAGCGTCCCTACACACTGCCGTATAAACTCGTTGCCTCCCCCCGGCCGCCGGCCCGCCCTCCACCGCGAGCCTTGATGCCCAGAGTAGACACACGTACATACACACACTCTGACTGCACACATGTTTTTTTCGGCTCGGGAACTGGGTCGCCAACAAGGACGCAGCGGCTTGAGTCGATTGAACGGTGTCTAATATTCATGACCTCCACGTGGGCGAAGAGGAGTCTGTTGTCGCCTGCCGCTATCCTCCACGCTTGGGGATGATCACGCCTCCGCCGCTCTGTTGCAGGTCGACCACTTCTACAGGTTGGCCGCGGTCCCGAACGGGTCCCTGGCGTCCCCCACCCCGTGGGGCAACTTCTCGGACTGGGCCAACCTGAGCACCTCGGAGCCGTGCCCGGAGATCCCGTACGAAGAGCGGCCCGAGACGTACTTCGTGCCCGTCATCTTCGCCATCATCTTCCTCGTCGGCGTGCTGGGCAACGGCACCCTCATCTGCATGTTCGTCAGCGACCGCAACATGCGCAACGAGCCCAACACCTTCATTTTCAGGTGCGGAACCAATAGAAATCGACAAAAAAAGCCGAGGGCGCGGAGGGTATTTGAACCCGGTATTTTAGCTTGTGAAATCGACGCCCTAGCCCACGCAGCCACGGTGACACGCACTTGGTGATGTTCCAGCTTGGCGTGCGGTGACCTGCTGGTCATCCTGACGGCCGTGCCCTTCGTGTGGGTCATCTACATCGTGCCGTACTGGCCCTTCGGCCTCATCGTGTGCCGGCTGTCCGAGACCGTCAAGGAGCTGTCCATCGGCGTGTCCGTGTTCACGCTCACGGCCCTGTCGGCCGCCCGCTACTTCCCCGTCGTGTACCCGATGCGCGCGCGTTCCGGCGGCAGGTCCGCGGCCGTGCGCTGGAGTGCCGTCAGCTCCGTGGCCATCTGGATCGTGGCGCTGGGCTGCGCCATGCCCGTCGCCCTCAACGCCTTCCTCATCCCGGTGGGTACACGGCATCCCCGCCGCGGCGCTCCAGTACCTCCAGACCGTCACTGTCTCTCTACCACCTGCTGCAGATGAAGGAGATCGACCACCCCGCGTGCGTGAAGGGCGACCACTACGTCGCCTGCTTCCCCTTCCCCATGGAGTGGAGCTGCAAGATGGCGGTGTACCAGTGCGTCATCTACTACGCCGTGCCGCTCACCATCATCTTCGTCTTCTACGCGCTCATGGCGCAGCGCCTGTTCCAGAGCGCGGCCACGCTGCCCGGCGAGCAGGAGGGCCACCACCCGGCCCGTAACCGCCAGGTCAGTGGTTCGAGCCCCCAATTTTCCGCCTCTTTTTCGGGCCGATTCGACATCAAAGCGCGGAAAGAGCGCACCGCAGCCGCGCGCCGGACGCGTGAATAAACAACAACAAACTACAGCGGGCCAGCGGGCCGTTTGACGGTGGCCTGGAGGACCGCAGCGCCGCGTGGCACGCGTTTCAAAGTAGCTTCTCCTTCTCTTTTTTGTCGCTCTGCCTGAGAGATGTATGGATAGCACCCCCGCGGCGGCACAGCGGCCCACATGGGTTGAGACCCGCTGCCAACTTGTAACAGTAGACTCCAGCTGTGCAAGCTGCGCTACCATCCATTGGTAAAACGGCGCAGCCGGAGAGAACGCGCGTCCAAAACACACACCGACGCCCCGGCAAAAAAGACGGGAAAACACACAGCAGAACGGGGTGAGACGCAGATCGCGCCCGGCCCGGGCCTTCTCACACCTTCTGGTACGCCCTGCCCTTTCCCACGTGACCGCATCGGACTGTCAGCACCGCGCCCCACGAGTTCGAATGCGACTCGTGGAGCCCTCAGCCGAGCGAATCAGGACATCGGTTTGACACTCTGTCCCTCTCCGCCCCTTGGAGAGCCCCGTGAGCGTGACGGAGACAGATTGGCGAAATGACTCGGCCGCCTCGGCTGCTCGGGGTGGGGCCCTGTTTGAGGTGACGGGTAGTCTGGCCGCGTAATTGGAAGGGTATTGGCATCGGGACTCTCCTTTGGAAGACGATGGGCGCGTGGGGGAGGCCCCGCGCCTGGGTTTCGATGACCCGATGGCCCGATGGCCCCGCAGTCGACTGGAAACGGCGCCAGCGCTGGCTGCCCAATCATATCGATCATTTCAAACGCGGCGCCAATAAAAGACTCCCCACTTGAACGGCCCGATTGCTGTTCCAGGTTCGCGCGCGCCGGAAGGTGGCCAAGATGGTGCTGGCCTTCGTGCTGGTCTTCTGGGCCTGCTTCACGCCGCATCAGATCTTCGCGCTGTGGTTCCACTGCGCCCCGGACTCGAGGGAGAACTTCAACAGTTTTTGGAACTACTTCAGAATATGCGGTAGGTAATTAATTTGGACACCCTTCCTGTGTTTGGAGCGACGTCTCGTAAAAGGGTGACTGGCTTTGCCGTTGCAGCGTTCTGCCTCAAGTTCCTCAACTCGTGCGCCAACCCCGTGGCGCTGTACTGCGTGAGCGGCATGTTCCGCAAAAAGTTCCAGCGCTACCTGGGCTGGCTGCTGCGTGGCGGCCGCCGGAGACGATCCTCCAACAGCCTGCTGACGAGCAGCGGCACGATGCAGCCGCGCCGCGCCAGCAAGGCCCGCACCATCCAGCGCACCATCACGCGCCGCCAGCGCACCGGCACCACGCTCGTCACCACCGCCTTCGTCAACGGCGGCACCGCCTAGGGCGGCCCTCGGGGCGCCCGCCCAGCCAGAAGACCGGCACCGGCGGCCGAAATCCCGGACGCGTTTTGAGCTACAGAGTCGCTAAATGGGACTCGAACAGAACGTGTGACCCCACCAATGGATTCCTCGCTCGGAGAGCTATCCATTGGTGGGGTCACACGTTCGGTTCGAGTCCCATTTGGCGACACTGGAGCTCAAAACGCGTCCGGGACTTTGACGGCCTCCACCTGTCTTCTGGCCCACTGTGGCGCCCCGCCCCGCCAGGCGTCGGGGGTGGCAACCCTAGCCCCGCTGGCGGCGGCCCAAACACGTCGGCCACCTTGTCAGCTGCGTGGGACTGGCAGCACTGTGTTACGTGTTCCCCCACGCCTCCTCAGCCTGTGTGTGTTTGCCAAGAAACACCTTGGCACAGTGAAGTGCTCCCCCTCTGAACGCTGTGCTCTGACACTGCTGACGCGCTGACGCCTAGTGACTTTGTTGTGCACCCAGCAGCGGTACGGACTTTTCCTGTTTGCCAAAGTATTGCAGCAACTGAACAAAACAAAAATGAAAAAAAAAGACATGGAATAAAGCTTTTTAGAAAAGTACCAAGCCCGCTGTCTTCGTCTTCTCTGAGTTGCTTTCGTTTACCTTTCTCCTCTTCTACAAGGCCCACGCCTAGCAGCGACAGGCCCGCTCGTCGCGCGAGTCGGTTGGGTTGCCTACCATGCCGGCGCCTCTGGTGGTGGCACGGCCGGCGCCGCACCGCACGCGGTCTCGCCCGGCAGACAGAGCGAGGCAGAGTGAGACAGAGTGAGACAGAGTGCACCATCGCCACACAAAGGACGGCGCCACCGCGCACTGATTACCGGGACGTCAATGTCGATTCGGCTCTTGTTCCAGCCAAAGCGGGCCGTCATGGTGATGGCCGCCCGCCCTGCCCTCGGCCATGCCGGCCCGGCGCCCCGATGCTCCCCCGGCCACGGCGGCCGCCCCACCCCGCCGGCGAGAAGGCTGATTGAGCGCGTCATCTCATTTCCCCGCCCTCGGCTGCCCATAGCCCTTATCCGGCACGTTGCCGATAAAGCCGATGCCTTGGCCGCCGCGCCCCGCAGGGCCCCAGACTGATTCCGAGAGTCGTTTTCGTCGCTCTGTCTCTCTCCCACCTTCACGACACGCCCCATGAGTGCGAGAGAGACAGAGCGACCGAAACGACTCTCGGAATCAGCCTGCTGGCACGGCGGCCAACTCGTCGACGACGACGTGCAGTCCAAGCTGCTGCCTGTCGGGGACCGACCGAGGCCGCCGTCGGCCTGACACGCGCGTGACATAGGGTTATAGACAGGCAAAAAGGAGCGTGCCCCGGCGGGCCGCCGCCGTCGCGTCGTTTTTCTCGATTTTATCAATTGTTTGAGAGGATGGAAAAAGCGGGCGTTCTCTTAATCGGCCGCCGGACATGACACAAAACGCCGCGGGCGGGTCGGGCGGCCGGCAAAAAGCGCAGAACGCACCGCGGGCTGTGGTTGCTGCGCATTGCTGCACTAACTCATGGCTATGCCGGCTCGCCTGCCGGTTGCGTGCGCTGCGCTGGCGGTGCCCTGGCGGCCCCGCGCAGATGGCGATGATGGCGCTGATGTCCCGATAGCGATCTGGCGGCACGGTTTGGTTTGACACCGCGCTGTTTCATCCTCCACTTATTCCGTCTGGCCGAGATGCAGCACTAGATGACCCCGTGCCGGGCCGGCCTGCAATATTCGGCGCACCAACAACGGCAGCCTCGCAACGGGGAGTGCAAAAAAAGCTAAATGTGCAGCAGCCGGCGGCGGGTATCGAACCGCCGGACTCGGCTGTCGAAAGTGGTCTCGTAGTGCTCTCAGCCGTCGACATGCTGCAGGGACAGCAGCACCTGCAGGAACTTGAACCAGTTCTGCAGGACCTGCAGGCAGAAGCGCCTGTCGATGGTACCCATGCCGCGGCCGTACAGCCTGCACCCGCGGCCGCCCGAGGACGCCGTCATCATGCCGAGCCGCAGCCGCTGCAGCGCGCGCGCCTCCTCCAACCAGGGGCCCTGGTAGGCCAGGGACGCGACGCGGCGCTGCGCCGCCGCCTGTGAGTCGCCGGCCAGGCACAGCGGCACGAACATGGTGGCGACCAAGGTGGCCAGGCCGAAGACGTACGTGTCGGCCCTCAAGCCGTTCAGCACCAGCTGCGGCAATTTGTCCCGTTTTAGCGCCGATGGGACGACACCTTCTGGTGCTGAGCTAGGGGCATGGGCGCACCCTGCCTGGCCCTTTACCTCCACGGTGCTCAGCAGCGGCGCGGCCAGGATGACGACGTGGAAGTGGGGCAGCAGGTCCACGATGACGAGGTTCACGGCCGCGGCCACGTTCAGCAGAGCGGACTGCTGCTGCGGCCAGCGGCGGTCGCAGGGCGCGGTCTGCAACAGCCATCCCGGGTTCGAGTACCGCCACCGAGGTCCATCTCGCATTTTGCTCTCTGCTCACCGCGACGGCCCGGCCGACGGCGTCGAAGGCGACGGCCATGCTGGAGAACAGGGTCAGGATGGCGAGGAGCATGTGGTAGTAGGCGCAGCGCAGGCAGCTGTAGGCCAGCCACTGGAAGGGCACGCACCACAGCCGCAGCGCGTCGGCGACGGCCTCCTCGGAGACTGCACATTCGCCAAAACGGGAGACGGCAAGGAGCATTTTTACTCTGCAGTGGTGCATCCGTGCCCCAGTCGACTGATTCCGAGAGTCGTTTCTGTCGCTCTGTCTCTCTCGCACCTACACGGGACGCCGAATGAGTGCGACAGAGACAGAGCGACGGAAACGACCCTGCAGTCCGTCGTCCACTGGCAGTCCGGCACGGTCCGGCGCGCATCGCACGTACTCCGCGCGCCATGGCGGAGGCAAGGCGGAGGCGTCCTAGGGCGCGGGCGAGGGCGCGGCCGGGGCACGTCGGGGGTAATATTGCCCACTTTGCTGCCGACGCGACGTGACGTAGGGACGGACGGACGGAGGGTGGTTCGGGCATACCGGCAGGGCTGCCGGCCGCGCGGTGCAGCAGGGCAGCGACGTACGCGAACCATCGCGACCTCCGGTTGATAGCCAGTATTGTCCGCCAGATGATCAGCTGGTTGACGACGCCGTAGACGACGAGGAACCAGCCGATCGCCGTCATCCAACGGCACGTCCGCCGCATGCGGCGCTGCGGATTGGGAGCACAGGGCGGCACTGCAGCCTGATTGCGAGGGGCGTTTTCATCGCTCTGTCTCTCTCGCACCTGTACGGGACGCCCTATGAGTGCGAGAGAGACGGGGTGACGAGAACGGCTCTTGGATCCGCTGGGTGTTTGATGCCGCCGCTGCGCTACCTTAGACTCGGGGTGAGCGACGGGCTCCAGGCTCTCGACGATGTTCAGGAGGTTCAGGAAGCAGTGCCGGAGGCTCGCCAGGCGGTTGTGGTACACGATGATGGTCATGAAGGCGGGGTACGCCACGAGGCCGACACGCAGGTGGGGCTGGGCCGCGGCCGTGGACACGCTCAGGGCCGCCACCACCTCGGACGCCATCAGCGCGACCCACACCGCGTTCACGGCGTACGCCAGCTGGAGGGGCCAGGACGGGGTGGATCAGTTGCCCTACCCGTGGACCACCTCTCCGTTGGCCTGCCTCTCAGATGTCTGGAATATCTCTACTATGAGTGGGTCAACTGAGAGGCAGGTCTACTGATACACGCCCTTTCGGAAAACGACGCGGAAAATGGGCGGAAAACTCGAGATTCGAACCCCGAACCCGGTGTACCGTGGAGCCGCGGAGGAACGACAGCAGGCGCGGCAAGAGCCAGGCGGACTCCCCGGGGGGCAGCAAGTACGGCTGCCACCGCCGCAGCTGTCTCGTCAGGGGGCACTCGGCGTCCTCCAGGACGGAGTCCGGGACGCGCCGCGTTCGCTGGGGACTCTGAGGGGAAATTGCAATTCGAAGAAGCGAGCAAGAAGCGAGCCGCCAAACGTCTGTCTCACTGTTGCAGGAGAGAGACGGGCACTACCTGCATGGCGATGGGATGCGATGCGCAGGCGCCTCTGAGACTGCTCAGACTGCCCCGGGCGGCTCCGTTGGGGCGCCCCTTGCACCTCCAGCCGGCCGCTGCCGAAGAGCGCCGTCTCCCTCCGTCTCTCTCGCACACCCGACGGAACCACCCACGAGTGCGAGAGAGACAGAGCGACGACGGCCCGGAACGCCTCGCATATTCATGTTCGCGTGCGCTGCTTGGCGCGCACTGCTGGCGCCGCTCCGCCGCCCCGCTGCTGCAGGTGCCCGAAGTTACACGCACATATTAATGAGCTGCAGCCCAAGACGCGCGTCCACGTGTCACGCCGAGAAGCTAGAGAAGCTAGAGACACCGGGGCTATTGCGCCGCCAGCGAAAGACGCATATTGTACTACAAAGCGAGGAATACTTTGGGTTGGCCTCGTGGTTAGGGTGTCAGACGCGGGTTCAACACCAGCCAACTCTTTTTTCCCCAATTTTTTTTTTTTTGGGAAAGATGTGTGCTTTTTGCATAGCTCTACTCTACTCCGGGTGCGCGCTGCTTCGGCCGCTGCCTTGGACTTGAAGGGCGCGTTCGATACGCATGTTCGCGGAAACTGACTGACGTAATCCCGGGCAGTGGGGCGAGTCCTGTTCGTCGCTCCGTCTCCCTCGCACTCACGGGGCGTCCCTTGTAGGTGCGAGAGAGACAGAGCGACAGAGCGACGAAAAAGGACTTTCGGAATCCAGTCGGCGGGAGGATCACCGCGCCGCGGGGTAAAAGTTAAGGTCAAGAGATGCTCCTCCGCACGCCCCGGTCGAGCCTTGCCGAGCCTTGCCCGTCCTTTTCTTTCTGCCTCCATTTTCCGCGACAATCACTATGATTACCGGCGCGATAAGGCCCCAAATGAAACAAGAGTCGTAAAGGCGATGATTAACGCGCCACCCGCACACCTCGGCCGGCTCGTCGGGCCTCGCACAGTGGGCCGGAAAG